TGAAATCAAGATTTTGTAATGATGTTAGAGTTTCTTTCGACTAATTTAAACTCGCTCTATCGATTGGAAAAGTCAAAATTCAAAAAATCTGAAAAATGAAAATTTCGATTTTTTTAAAGGGTTGGATTTTAATTTCAAAATTTTCAAACTCAATTTTCTCGAAATCAGTCAGAGATTTTGGATAAATTTTTTTTGAGATCGTAGCCCTTGATTAGGGCTTCAAAATGGTATTTATTTGAAGTCGCTAGCATTTACGATTTTTGAGCAAATCGAGTTTGAAGTTTTTGACTAAATTTCAAGTAAAATTCAACTTTGAGGCTCCATTGCTCTAAAAGTATTCGAGTTATCAAACTCAATCTAGCACTGATTTATAGAGAATTAAATGCTCTTTCCAACCATATATAATTTATTTTGATTTGCTCAAAATTTAATCGAAGTATTGGCAATTGCCCCTAACCTTGTCAGGATTCAAAAAAAAAAATTAAACCTAAAAATTGAGATTTTCTTTTTAATTTTTCTCTGTGTTGAAATCAAGATTTTGTAATGATGTTAGAGTTGTTTTCGACTAATTTAAACTCGCTCTATCGATTGGAAAAGTCAAAATTCAAAAAATCTGAAAAATGAAAATTTCGATTTTTTCAAAGGGTTACCCCTTTGGATTTTAATTTCAAAATTTTCAAACTCAATTTTCTCGAAATCCGTCAAAGATTTTGGATCAATTTTTTTTGAGATTGTAGCCCTTGATTAGGGCTCCAAAATGGTATTTAGTTGAAGTCGCCGGCATTTACGATTTTTGAGAAAATCGACTCTGAAGTTTTTGACTAAATTTCAACTAAAATCCAAATTTAAGGCTCAATTGCTCTAAAAGTATTTGAGTTATTAAACTCAATCTAGCACTGATTTATAGAGAATTTGATGCTCTTTCCAACCATATATAATTTATTTTGATTTGTTCAAAATTTAATCGAAGTATTGGCAATTGACTCTAACCTTGTCAGGATTCAAAAAAAAATTAAACCTAAAAATTGAGATTTTCTTTTTAATTTTTCTCTATGTTGAAATCAAGATTTTGTAATGATGTTAGAGTTTTTTTCGACTAATTTAGATCCGCTCTATCGATTAGAAAAGTCAAAATTCAAAAAATCTGAAAAATGAAAATTTCGATTTTTTCAAAGGGATTGGATTTTAATTTCAAAATTTTCAAACTCAATTTTCTCGAAATCCGTCAAAGATTTTGGATCAATTTTTTTTTAAATTGTAGCCCTTGATTAGGGCTTCAAAATGGCATTTAGTTGAAGTCGCTGGCGTTTACAGTTTTTGAGAAAATCGAGTTTGAAGTTTTTGACTAAATATCAACTAAAATCCAACTTTGAGGCTCAATTGCTCTAAAAGTATTTGAGTTATCAAACTCAATCTAGCACTGATTTGTAGAGAATTCAATGCTCTTTCCAACCATATATAATTTATTTTGATTTGCTCAAAATTTAATCGAAGTATTGGCAATTGCCTCTAACCTTGTCAGGATTCAAAAAAAAATTAAACCTAAAAATTGAGATTTTCTTTTTAATTTTTCTCTATGTTGAAATCAAGATTTTGTAATGATGTTAGAGTTTTTTTCGACTAATTTAGATCCGCTCTATCGATTAGAAAAGTCAAAATTCAAAAAATCTGAAAAATGAAAATTTCGATTTTTTCAAAGGGTTACCCCTTTGGATTTTAATTTCAAAATTTTCAAACTCAATTTTCTCGAAATCCGTCAAAGATTTTGGATCAATTTTTTTTTAAATTGTAGCCCTTGATTAGGGCTTCAAAATGGCATTTAGTTGAAGTCGCTGGCGTTTACAGTTTTTGAGAAAATCGAGTTTGAAGTTTTTGACTAAATATCAACTAAAATCCAACTTTGAGGCTCAATTGCTCTAAAAGTATTTGAGTTATCAAACTCAATCTAGCACTGATTTGTAGAGAATTCAATGCTCTTTCCAACCATATATAATTTATTTTGATTTGCTCAAAATTTAATCGAAGTATTGGCAATTGCCTCTAACCTTGTCAGGATTCAAAAAAAATTTTAACCTAAAAATTGAGATTTTCTTTTAAATTTTTCTCTGTGTTGAAATCAAGATTTTGTAATGATGTTAGAGTTTCTTTCGACTAATTTAAACTCGCTCTATCGATTGGAAAAGTCAAAATTCAAAAAATCTGAAAAATGAAAATTTCGATTTTTTTAAAGGGTTGGATTTTAATTTCAAAATTTTCAAACTCAATTTTCTCGAAATCAGTCAGAGATTTTGGATAAATTTTTTTTGAGATCGTAGCCCTTGATTAGGGCTTCAAAATGGTATTTATTTGAAGTCGCTAGCATTTACGATTTTTGAGCAAATCGAGTTTGAAGTTTTTGACTAAATTTCAAGTAAAATTCAACTTTGAGGCTCCATTGCTCTAAAAGTATTCGAGTTATCAAACTCAATCTAGCACTGATTTATAGAGAATTAAATGCTCTTTCCAACCATATATAATTTATTTTGATTTGCTCAAAATTTAATCGAAGTATTGGCAATTGCCCCTAACCTTGTCAGGATTCAAAAAAAAAATTAAACCTAAAAATTGAGATTTTCTTTTTAATTTTTCTCTGGGTTGAAATCAAGATTTTGTAATGATGTTAGAGTTTTTTTCGACTAATTTAGATCCGCTCTATCGATTAGAAAAGTCAAAATTCAAAAAATCTGAAAAATGAAAATTTCGATTTTTTCAAAGGGTAGACCCCTTTGGATTTTAATTTCAAAATTTTCAAACTCAATTTTCTCGACATCCGTCAAAGATTTTAGATCAATTTTTTATGAGATTGTAGCCCTTGATTAGGGCTCCAAAATGGTATTTAGTTAAAGTCGCTTGCATTTACGAATTTTGAGAAAATCGAGTTTGAAGTTTTTGACTAAATTTCAACTAAAATCCAACTTTGAGGCTCAATTGCTCTAAAAGATATTTGAGTTATCAAACTCAATCTAGCACTGATTTATAGAGAATTAAATGCTCTTTCCAACCATATATAATTTATTTTGATTTCCCCAAAATTTAATCGAAGTATTGGCAATTGCCCCTAACCTTGTCAGGATTGAAAAAAAAATTTAACCTACAAATTGAGATTTTCTTTTTAATTTTTCTCTGTGTTGAAATCAAGATTTTGTAATGATGTTAGAGTTTTTTTTTCGACTAATTTACACCCTCTCTATCGAAATTCAATAAATATGAATAATAAAAATTTCGAATTTTTCAAAGGGTTACCCCTTTAGATTTTAGAATTTTTCAAAGAGTTACCACATCAGATTTGGTGAAATTTCACAAAACCTGGCATCACTGAAGTAGACCCGCCTTCTCTTCTGAACCCATCATTTACTTGACCAAAATAATGAAGAAATGCGCATGGGAACAACTCACTATGTATTGATATATCTTCCTCTGTATTCTCATGTATTCCTTTGTATTTTCATGATGTATTCATATAAGTATATTCCCAAAATCTAGGATAGCGTTTTATCCATTCCAAGTGAGCTGTTTTCCAAAAATTAAAAAGTACTTACCACAAATATCAAGTTGTAGGTACACCACTGTATTATTCCGATTCTACAACGGCATTTGCCGGGGCTTTTGAAAAGGCGAACTGTTCCTGCAAAGGGCAACCGACACCTGGGTTATTACCAGACGATTTGTACTGACAACTTAATAGTTTAATTGATACATATTGGGCAGAATTGCATTTTCCTGCGCACCATATATTTCTTCTTCCACCATTCATTCGAAAATGAATTAAAAAATATAAAACCCAAAAGTCCAATTATTAAAACTGATAAATTGGGAGCCCCCCCGAATAACCCATTTACCTTTTTTTTGTTTCCCAAATAATGTTACGGTGGTGTAATTTGATATTCCGTAATAACACGTTGGGATTGATTGGCTGATGGCTTTCAAAATAATCGTCGTTTAAATTTAATAACAACACAAGGAGACGAATCCTCCCAAAAACCATCGGATATTAAATGATATTTCCGAGGGTTTTATAGCTTTAACACCTGTCCCGATTGGATTCTGGGGGATTTTGTATTTAATAATGAAAGAATGATAGACACAAAAACTCACACAAAGAATTAGCTCCGCCAAACAACAAAGTAAATCTTTATCAGGCAACCGCGAAAATGGGAAAAATTTCCTTGCGGCATGATAAATGGATTGCATTTAGAACTTTTCTTCGATGAATCAATTTTCCCTTTTCTTACTTTTGAATGTAATTATTCGCGAATAAATCATTTGCGGCTGAATACGTTATTTGACAGGCCGAAAAACAGCAGGGCCTAATGATGCGGCATTTTTAGTCCAGCAATAATTATTATACTTCCGAAGAAGTATTCATAAAAACGTAAAGATGAAAATACACCGTCAGAGGATAACTCGTCATAAAAACGACGATGGCTAAAATATAAATGAGATTCGTTTTTATTAAACGACTAATGGCCGATTTTATAACTGGCAGTTAAATGGTTACTGGTTTTGATTAAACCATTTAATGTTTATTGTATATGATCTCTTGTGACTGGGTCCGTCTCTGTCCAAAAGAGCAATATAAATGCAGAATGCATCAAGCCCAGGCTGGACGCGTAAAACTTTTAACGACCCCCAAAGCTTGCTTCATCTACATTGTCTTCTATAAAACAAATCGCACCCGGATATTGTTTTTAATTAAAGGAAACTCCAATTAAAAAAAAATGGAGGTACAAGTATAAATTCGCCCCCCAAAACTTATCTATTACGGTCGTTATTTTTTAAGGGGAAAAATTGCAAACCGCCGACAATTAGCAATAAAATAAAAAATAATACCCCCGCGCGACAGGCTCGCCTTATAGCAATTTGGTGTAATTGCTGCGGCCTCGATATTAGGCAATAAGCTGATTTTTTATGCACCCTCCCCTATAGCAGCTAAATCATCCCTCGTTTTTTTCTTTTTTCAGCCGAACTAAAAATGGACATGCTAAGACAACGCGACGAGAAGGACAATTTGGAGAGGCAGTTGCAGGAAGAGCAAAAATTGCGAGGTAAGTGAATATGGAACTTGGAGAATGTTTGGTAAATGTCTCACTTAACTCCTAGGAATGTCTTATATAGAAGTGGAATGCCTCATCCCCGATCGCATAACTTACCCTTTGCGAAATAAATTTTAATGTCTCGTACCTTGGCTTCCACGATGCGTGGAACATATTTTATCATTAATTAATGGAAAAAAATATTATTAGTTGATTAACAAGCTGTAAAGACAATTAATGTAGAACAATGGATTCGGATGGTAAATATTTAAATTAACTATTATAATCTCATTAAATCAACACACACCGGTGTGCGATGTTTCAAATATTTAGAAATTTTTTATGGTCTATTTGCGAACCACGCGGCTATAATATGATTTTTTCTATTTCGAAAAATAACCGAAAATATGTGATAGTGTACTGGGAGCAAAGCAAATAGCAAACTTCCTCCCTAGGAGGATGTGTACCTGTGACGTTATCTGTGTAACTTCCTTTTTTCACATCAAGATGTGAAAAGTGGGTGTATTATTATCTTTTAAGCGGGATTCATCCTACTCACCAATATACTGTTGAACTATTCAAATGAGACACTCACCTGAAACGTGTAGTTTTTGAACTAATGAGAATAACTGACATTTGAGTGAGTCAGGTCAGTATCGTAATTACATCAGCGAAAAACTATTCTTCAGCGTTGCCATGACGTTCCAACCTCGGGTCGTGTAGGTGTTTATAAAACTTTTGGTAGAATTCTCCAGAATTACTTCTGTTGTCAATAGTTTCTTGTGTTCAGGATGATGTTCTTACCTTTCTTTATGTTTACATATATTTTCTTACCCTGTACCTAAAATAGTTGGTTTATCTTTTGCTTTGTTGCGTTTTAACCCAACTTTTTTCTGCTTTCCATTGTCGCAAGTACGGAATTACACCCTAAACATACCGCAGTGATCACTTTGACGCACAAAATAGGGGCAAAATGTAAATAAATATTAAAATTAGGATAGGATAACTACATATAGTACGATATCAAAATGTTCCAGATGGTAGCCCGGGTACTGGTTGTGGTTAACATGGTCAAACCAATCTTAAGGTTCAAATTTACAGTCCGGAAGGATTGTGTAACCGTCCAACCAAAAGGCTTAAGGCTGTTACAATCTCGCTTACAATAATTGAACGTGTATTTTTGTGTCACAATGTAATTGTGAGTAAAAACCCTAAGAGAAAAATCGTTATAACACATTGTATTTGTAACTTAACTTCAGCCAGGCACTTTATAAATAGACATAATGAAAATGATTGAATGGAAAACTGAAAATAAGTGTGAAATAGTTAAAGGCAATTTTGGCACGTTACAACCCCCCCTTTCCTACGATAGGGGGGAAAGTTACAAAGAAACTTTTCCAACAATAATCTAAGCAAACTCGAAAACTGAGATAATAATATAAAGAATATCCAATGCATGTATTTATAATTTAAACTTGAATGAGATCAAAATGATTGCCTTCTACCTTGACTTGGGAGAAAGAGAGAATAGTCTGAAGAGAGCATAGAAAAAGAGTTGATTAAGAGAGATCGCTATAGGAAAGAGAAAAGTAAGGGATCAGACGCCATATAAATTGAAACGTCTAGATCCAGCTAGGGTGCTAGGGTGGTACGGGCCCTGCGGTTAACAAGGATGTCAAAATTGGTTCCTTCTTAAGCAAACTGAATGTTTTACACTTTCCAAATTAATAAATATGTGTCACATACTATAATAGAAATCCTGTCGCCTTTTCACACATATATAAATGGTAAAAAGGTTTATGCTAAGTGAAAATTTTGTACCGGGGGCCTTTGTAGGGAAATGAGAGGGTCCGGCGTTTAAATTAAAGTTTACAGAGCTTTGTGAAAGCAGGCGCAGCAATTGACAAGTAATTTACTGAGACCAATGGTCATTTGTGTTGTATAAATGAGTTAGACGGGAGAGCGAATAAAATTAGGACCACTGGCCGGAGAGATCAAAGTCCCCTCTATTCGGGTGCCGAAACGCTTTCACAGAGAATTGGAAATGGGCCACTCTGATGTTTTGAAATAAAGTAACAATTGGATTCGGACAAAGCGCGGGGGGTTGTCACAAACATTTACATTTTGCTGTGATTATTTTTTTGAAAACCCTAAACGCGTAAATCATAGACAGGAGGAAAATTCCTCCCTAGAGATGAGTAATTATTAAATTTATGCTGATTCCACGTCTTAGTCGAAGCGATATAGCACCAACCAGCCCAGCCATTCGAATTACAACAAGATTTACAATATTACCTTGATACGCCTTGCCTAATTCTAATTTATCTGGCTTGGGGGGTGAACGGTGCCTCGGCATCGTCTTTGTTCGTATTGCCAAAAGTATCCGGTTGCAATCGTAAAATTAAATTATGACGTTTATAATGGGCCCAAATGGGCTTCCGAACGATGGCGGACGGGGTTGTAATTGCCCCTGTCGGTGCGGAATTGATATTATTAGTCTGTGGCTGGGATACAATATTTCGAATTGATGTTTGGAGCGTAGAATTACGCATTTGACATCGGGTGCCTTGACGGTTAATGGACTTTCGAAGTCAAAGCATTTTTTTGCTCAGCACCTTTTTAATTACCAGGCTTTGAGCTTTTGCAAAATAATTTCTTTCAAGTGACATTTTATTCACCTCAGTGTGTGTGTATATAGTACAAAGCGCCGTTTAAAATAGCGATGGCAAATAAAACACAAAGTCCCCTTTTCGTGGGACCCCGGACTTAGAACAAAAGCTTCTGTGCATTACTAAAACACCGCAACACCTCCGGAAAACGGGTCCGGTGTAACACTAAGACAGTGGACATCAAAGGACTCTCCTTTGACACCGGAGTCAAGAGTCGAACTTTAATTATCGCCCGGGCTTTAAGATAATGTTTACATTCCCGATCATTTTGTTATGCAAGTGTCCGATTTCAGGCAAATTGCTGCGCTCTCTCAAACAATCTGGACATTCTTCTTCTTCCCAACTTTGACCGCGTATACAGAGAATATAGAGAGAGCAGTTTAAATTGAAACTGATGGCCGATGTGTTTTAGCTTTGTGAAAGCAATCATGGGGAGGAAATGAGGATCATACATTTTGCTACATTGAGAAATGTTTGAATTAAGTACATCATCCTGAACATGAGAAACTAATAAAAAATCAATCAACTATTAACAACAATAGTAATTCTGGAGAATTCTACCAAAAGTTTTATAAACACCTACATGACCCGAGGTTGGAACGTCATGATAACGCTGAAGAATAATTTTTCGCTGGTCCTTAGAGACTACAACTTTCCAATCATCTGAAGGAGAAAATCAAATTTATAAAGATTGCTATTTTGCATATCTAGAGGGAAAACTTCAGGGGTTTATCTTCGACCTTTTGAAGCATTCCCAAAAACCATTTGTCACTTGTTGAGGTAGAAGTGTAAGATGGAGGAGTAAAATTGAAAACAGAATCAACAGCTGCAAGACGACCTCGTGGATCCTTTAAACGATAAAGCCATAACAAGGATGCGTGATCAGTGAGTGATAAAATGGATGTGATGTAAATAGTGACGCAACTTCTCAACAGCCTAAATGACAGTAAGATATTCCTTCTCTGATAGTTTCATCTCATGCTTGGTTAAAAGACTTTTTCACCCTTCTCGTGTTGTTGAGTTAAACAACTCCCAGTCCAACCTCTTCTGGATGAGGGCATAATCCTTTCTTATCAACCAGATAGTCAAGGTATTTTAATTCTGGCTTGCAGAAGTGACATGTTTTTAACGAAATAATTAGTCGAGCCTGACACAAGCGGTCAAATACAACCTCCAAAAGTTGCAGATGTTCTGAAAAAAAAGTTAGAGATTATCACCAGGTCATTTATGTAGCACATAACATATGGTTCGAGCTCTAGACCAAGGATAGTGTTGATGATTCTTTGGCAAGTTGCAGGAGCATTAGAAAAGCCAAATGGCATTCGACAGAATTGGACAGGGACAGTAAATGCAGTATACTCCTTGGAAGATGTACTCAAAGGGACTTGCCAAAAGGCTAACTTAATATCGATGGAACTGATATATCGAGTCTCCCTTATTCGATCCAAAATGGTGGAAATATATGGAAGAGGATATACGTATAGTATGAAAGAATATAGTATAGTATGAAAGAATATAGTATAGTATGAAAGTATATGGCTGCTGAACAATGACTTATTATAAAGTCAAAATTTGTTTATTAACAGGAATTAGTAATGTTACTTTACCAAAGTAGCAATATAATGTGACAAGTTATTCAAGTACAAACGAGTGAATTGTTGCGAAACTTATGGGTGGACCTCTGCGGGACGAGCGCAGCGAGTTCCGCAGCCATCTATTCATCAATATGTTGTTTAATTACGATACTAACCTGACTCACTCAAATATGAGTTATTCTCATTAGTTTAAAAACTACACGGTTCAGGTGAATGTCTTACTTGAACAGTTCAACAGTATATTGGTGAGTAGATGGCTGCGGAACTCGCTGCGCTCGTCCCGCAGAGGTCCACTTATAAGTTTTGCAATAATCCACTTATTTATACTTAAACAATAACTTATTATATAAAGTCAAAATTTGTAAGATTATGATTATTCACTTTTTGTCAATTTGTTTATTAACAGGAATTAGTAATTTTACTTTACCAAACTAGTAATATAATGTGACAAGTTATTCAAGTACAAACGAGTGAATTGTTGCGAAGCTTATGGGTGGACCTCTGCGGGACGAGCGCAGCGAGTTCCGCAGCCATCTATTCATCAATATGTTGTTTAATTACGATACTAACCTGACTCACTCAAATATGAGTTATTCTCATTAGTTTAAAAACTACACGGTTCAGGTGAATGTCTTACTTGAACAGTTCAACAGCATATTGGTAAGTAGATGGCTGCGGAATATAATGTGACAAGTTATTCAAGTACAAACAAGTGAATTGTTGCGAAACTTATGGGTGGCCTCTGCGGGACGAGTGCAGTGAGTTCCGCAGCCATCTATTCATCAATATGTTGTGTAATTACGATACTAATCTGACTTAATCAAATGTGAGTTATTCTCAATAGTTCAAAAACTACACGTTTTAGGTGAATGTC